ACCAGTCAGTCAGCTGTCTGTCTGTCATGTTAGTTGCCATATTGTCTATTTGTGCATGTATGAATCTGTCTATTTTTGTCAACCTCCTCTCTGTTTCACTGTCTATATTCTCACTGTGTCTATTGTAGTCATCTTCTCCATGCATTCCTGTTATTATCTTTTTATCTCTTCTCCTTTTCCATGTCCAGTCACCCACAGGAATAATTACACATTGTAGCTTTAAGGTCGTTTAGTAACGTTGAAACTGCGCATCCAGACGCATGATGAAACTCAGCTCCCCCCACCTGTTATCTCTAACTATTTTCTCTGTTTCCCCTTCTTTATTCTTCTATTTACTCATATTCCTTCCTTTACTAATCCAAACAACATTAAAAAGAAAGTAGGCAAAGAAAAAATTGGGGGAGGGGGAGCCGTAAGATAACTGAAATCATGGGCTGACAGCGTACAGAGAATGAGGGTGCACCAAGTCCGTAGACTTGCATCGTTTTCCATCGTAAAGAATGGTTATGTAATGGCTTCCTAAAGAAACCATCGATATGGGACCAGGTTTGTTCCACTCTACGAATTTTTTACGATTTGTCCACCAAATTTGATGAAAAACGATTGTGCCGTTTCGACTGCCAAGAACAGACACACACACACGCAAACAGACACACGCCTAGTCCTATAGTATATTCAATAAAAAGAGTCCATGCAGTATTTTCGTTGACTGTTTTGCGTTAGCAGTATTCCATTTTGCTTGTTTCTTTCAACTTTTATGTACAGTTTATTTTCTTGTTAATAAAATCATCTGCTGCTTTAATAAACGCCATATTTGTATTCCTTGACCATGTAAATGTATGTTTTGACACCAAGATTGTTTTCCTTGGTGGCTTAGAAGCGGTGATATGATTTTTTACATAGCAGCCATCTTGAAAATCCAAAATGGTCACCATAATGTGTCTGGAGGAAGTGGGTCTTATCAAATATAAAAACTCAGGCAATTTGTAGCATGTGGAGAGAATCTGATGCTTTTGTCCGGAATGTCCACATCCACCTTAAACCCGGCCCTAAGCTGTCTGACTATTGAGGGAAGGGGGTTACTGGGGCTATTGTCCTGGTGGTTTACATATTTACATAAAACTGAACTCTTTATACAGTTTTAATAAATCACTAACTATATATGTTTGATACAAGTTCAACCCCATTTCTTAAATCATAATCACCCTCTTCCATCTCCATCCATCCATAATATGTTGAAACAACACATAACAACTGCATGCAGCTCAAAACTCAGTTACTCCCACACCTTCTGCACTCCCCAACACCTAACGTTCCTCCTTAACCCCCACCCCCACACACACACATTGTTACAAGTTAAATGAATTTCTATCTGTTGCTTCAGATTCCTTAATCTCACATTCACTGGTTTCACATTTGTGGGTGAGTATCAAACGTGGGAATGGCCGAGACTGTACACCAAGTCACACACTGAGACCAAGGAGTAAGCCGAATGAAAAATGTTAAGCGAGCGAACCCGGGTTCGATCCCCGGGAAGGGTGAAACTAACGGGCACGTTTCTTTACGCCATTTGTCTCTGTCTACTCAGCAATAATTGGGAACCTGGATGTTAATCGATTTGCAGATCGTATTCTGTGGTAAAGGTTAGCCAGTGCAGTTGGCGAGCTGTCCGGACATCTCGAACTATTCCTTGAAGCTGGGTTACTCAGCTCGTTAACTCAGAATGTGGTTGTTGTGTTGGCAACAGCTTCTATACCTTAAACGAATGTATGCCTAGGTGGCCCAAGGGCCGGCAATCCTCGTTACACGAGGGGAAACCATTAAAAAAAAAAAAAAAAAAAAAATATATATATATATATATATATATATATATATATATATATATATATATATATATATATATATATATATATATATATATATATATATATATATATATATATATATATATATATATAAATGACCTACCATCTCACAAAAGCATGGGAGGGCCTATACCACTGTGAACTTGATCTCACCCTCCTCTGTATATATATATAACATGTTCTGTACTTCTTCTTAGTCTGTACTCACCCTTGAAGATGTGAATTACACGAAAGCGCTTGGGAACTTCGTGTTTTCTTTTTTACTTGTGGTTATCAGCATATACCTGGATCACGCGCACCTACAGTGATTTATTTGCATATATATATATATATATATATATATATATATATATATATATATATATATATATATATATATATATATATATATATATATATATATATATATATATATATATATATATATATATACACACACACTGGGGTAATCGCCGCCCTCCGGGAGGCTCTTTCGCTAGGCCACGGTAGGACGCCACCCTCCGGGAGGCTCCACATTGTCTCACTGTAGTGCATTAAGGTAGACCACATATTTGGTTTTGCCATTAGCAGCAAGAATGTACAGATTTTTGCCAGTTCCCACTCTGAAGCATCCAACATAGAACTGTCCATGAGAGAAGCTAGGAAATCACCAGGTTTAGGCCAACCATCTTTAGGGACTGTTCCTGGCTTTTGTAGATGGTCATGACAAAGCTCACTTTAACCGGGAACTGAAGTCGCATGAACTCAAATGGCAGGTCAGTGGTGATGAGAGGTATCCTTGGTATAAAAACGTCCTCTCCTTTATCTTTTCCTGTCAGTATTGTAGCTTCCAGTACATGTGGCATCATGTTCTTCACCACCAGTCTTGTGCCATTGCAGAGGATTGGTGGTTCAAGATTTCTTAAGAGCATTATAGGATTTCCAATCTTGAGAGTGAGGTGGTGAGGAGGCATTCCAGCAGGCTCTGCAGAATTAAGGAATTTTGCAGGGTACTGGACTGCTTGGTCCTGGTCGATTACTGTATCAACAGATTTGAATGAGGTCTCATTGCCTGGAAGCTGTCTGAGTAGAGTAATGTTGATTTCAGCCACTGTTTCATTCTTTGGTGCCAGAATTCTGCGTTCACGGAGCCACTTGTGATCCTTATAGTGGTGGAGAATGTTTCGGTAGACCATGTTAGTGAGCTCAGTTGAGGATTCTTACAACATTTCCACATCCTTGAGGAATGATTATTTGTTCTTCTGAATCAACAGGGAAAGTTCCATTCCCAATCTGGAGTAGAAGGTTTGCAAACCGTCCAGCATCCTGATCTCCTTGTAGATGTATTCCCATGTTTGTGGATAGGGTGAGTGTCTGAACAGTTCTCCAAAGGTATAGTGCCTTGAGGCACGCATTCAGTTCATCAGCTGAAGTGCTTCAAGGAATGACAGGTAGGGTCTGGCGAAAGTCTCCAGCAATGACCATTGTAATGCCACCCATGAGCTGGTCATTTTCTCGTATGTCTTGCAAGGTCCTGTCCAATTCTTCAAACGCTAACTTGTGAGACATAGTGCATTCATCCTAGACTATGAGGCTGCATTTTTCTAAGAGTTTTGCCTTTGCCGATCCCTTTTTGATGTTGCACACTAGATTCTCATTGTGAGCAAGGTTGAGAGGCAGTTTAAAAGTTGAGTGTGCAGTAAGTCCTCCTTCTAGTAGTGTTGCAGCAATGCCTGTGGATGCAGCAGTTAGAGCAATTTTCCCCTGATGACGTACTTTGGCCAACAGAAGGTTGATCAGGAATGTATTTCTTGTCCCGCCAGGTGCATCGAGAAAGATCATATCTCCCTGCTCCGCTTGTATCGCTTGCAAGATCTGTTTATAAGCATTTGCTTGATTAGGCACCAGGTGAGGCTCATTTTCTTCAAGGAAATTCACCAGAACTTCAACTGAGTAGTCTGTCTCTTTGAGCAACTCCCTGTTTGCAACTACTGTTTAGTCCCCAAAATTTCTTCTTCTATCAATATTTCATTAACAGTGTATGTAAGTTCCACTACAACGGTACAGCAAAGTAAATTTTTTTAGCATTAAACTGTTATTATTTCATTGTCTAATCATCACTACATATAACATTATCCATCATCACTACATATAACACCATCCATCATCACTACATATAACACCATCCATCATCACTACAGATCGGTAAAATAGTTTCCGAGATTCTCGTGCGGACACACACACACACAAACACACACACAGACATACTTCTTTGTTTTATACATATATATATATATATATATATATATATATATATATATATATATATATATATATATATATATATATATATATATATATATAGAGAGAGAGAGAGAGAGAGAGAGAGAGAGAGTGATAATTATTGTTCTTCATAATATTGGAGAGTAGTCATTTTTTTTATTTTGTAAGAATAAAAAAAAAATGTGTACCACAGGCGTGAGTAACGGTCCCATGCACGAACATTTTGAACTCTTTGTCCAACTGGCCAAGCCGGTTTGTGCAGTCAAAACTGATCGTGTATGAGAGGCTAGTTTTGAAGTAATTTTTATGCCTGCACTGTTCTTTCGCCTGGTTGGTGAGATTTCAAGCTCTGCGTGAAAACAGGCTCGAGCCAACTGAATTGAGTAGGCTGGTTTGAACGTTTGAACCGTCGCTCAGCTTAGTATAAAGGTGGCTCCCACAGAGAAAGGTTAAAGAAAACCCAAAGGAAGGTGTTCAACACAGAAAGATAAAGCATTTTAGACTCAATTCATTAACTTATAAATGTCTCAGGTATAATTTTGTCAGGTGCTTGTGAGATGGTAACGGAAAACTTTAAATCGTTCTCACTGCCTTTCGACAAAACTCACCTAGTTGTTCATGTGCTGTTATTGAGTTTTGCATATACATTACGTGTCTTGTCTCTCATTGAATGGAGTTACCAGCGATAGCAGCTGCTGGTATGTTTCATCACCCATATACAGTACAGTAAATGTACCTGAACCTATCCCAAGCCTCTAGTTTCAGCTCTTTCATCAGAGACGTTTTTCTTGTGAAGGGAATTTTGTCACTTCTACTATTCTACTACTGTACTGTGCGTGTGTGTTTGTAATGGAAGTAAAAACGGAAATCTAGTAATTTTAAAAAAAATTTTAATAGACCAGAGGAGCGCATCCAGGGTGTTGGAGAAAAATAGATCAGTTTGTGCTTCCAAAATATTTATAAATTCGTTTCTTTAATATAACAGAACTGTAGGGGGGAGAAAAACAAAAGAAGGGAAAAAAATTATTGTCATGGCCGAGGATGGAAAGACTGTACTGCAATGCATATATCCTGGATCGTCTGAATTCCATAACAAATTTGTGGAAGGAAGTAGCCAGCCTTGTGCCAAGGTCTTGTCAGCCAACACAACGACTGAAAACAGTGGCCGATATCATACCTGTAGAGGATAAAAGAAGGAAGGATAGAGAGAGTTAGAGAATATTATATTAAAAACTTCAAACAAGATAATTAAATTTAAAGTTGTCACAGCCTTAGGGGAGTTCTGGTAACAAAAATCCACATAGGCAATACACACCAATACATTATCCGTATTATGAGGTAACGTTACAGTTCATTTACTGAGACGAGTAGACGGAATGGGTGAAGTTCTCTACTAGTAGGGTGAGGAAAGCAACGCTTGAGCCCAGAAACAGTAGATAAAAGGCGCCCTGCAGGTGGCTAAGCCTCAACACTATTTCACTGGCTTCGTCCTGGGGAAATAATACACAAGAGGTGTTAACAGTCAAATGGTGTCTCTTAGTTGTATAGTACGTGTAATTATTTTTCATATAAAAGCTTCATTTTATTGCTGAAAACTAATGAGTACAAAGCATATTCCAAGACTGATCACAGCTACAAAATTTCAAACAGACGGTAGTTTGTTGGAAGTCAGTCAATATGACTTAACGTCTTAACCTTAAATATAATTGAAAAATTGTACAAATAAGTTCACCAGAAGGGATTTGTATCTACAGTCCTATTGTATCGATTGTTTTATAATTATCTGGTTTACAGATTTACTAGTATATTACTACAATTGCTGATACATCGACATATTCACCAGCAACGTTAATGTACTTCAGTGATTGAATCGTTTACTATGATTCACACTGTTAAATGAGACGAGGATATAATAAGGCTCAGATGACCTATACCTTGGGTTGGATGCTCTTTCCTGCAGTCTCTCTGTTCTCCCTGACCCGCCTGGCTATCACATCCTTGGTCCAGTAGGTGATGATCCCTGCATCTTCCAGCCGAATCATCAGCTGACTAAACCGCGGGAAGAACGGCGCTCCCTTCCTGAATGATACATTTTACGATAATGAACAGCTGAATGAACTCTATGTAACCTTAACATGTGTATGCTGAAGTGGCTGAAATGAGTCCAGAAACTGTTTTATCCACGCAACATACCGCTAAGGCTCAGGGTGAATAAAGAATGTGTTATCAATTTTAGGAAAGTACGTTAAAAAAATAAATATAACTGAGAAAAATATAGAATTTTATAAATTCCAACGAATTCAGCGTTTCCCTCTGCAGTTTGAGACTTACCCACTTTCTTATATGTTTTTCATTGTCAAGGAAAAATTTATGCAAAGCTTTTGGAAACTTAACAAAGGTTATTCATCGTTATATATATTTAACATGAAGTTTTATGTTACGATACAATGATGTTAAGAATATAAACACCAACCGAAAGACGAAGTAAATGATGGAACTGTGTTAATGTGGCCAGATAAATATGTTAGACGTTCACTTACTCGCTTCGTGGGTGGAAAAAGCATAGAGTCTCAAAGAAAAAACAAACATAAAACATATGCCTTTTGCAGTTAATAACATAAAGGATTAATTGTTTTTAATTAGGTAACTTAATTGAACGGTCAATATATGAATTAAATGATATTGTATTATTAACGCTAGGTACTTATACCTGTATCATAACTTTCTTGAATAAATTCTTCCCCGATTCTTTTTCCCTGGTTCACAATCAGGTTCAGTCAAGAAAATAATTTGAATACAGGTGTTGCTGCACAATGGATTTTTGCATTATATTAGAAATTAGATAAACTTTAAGCAAAGAAATACCCGATGAAAGATACTTGATTGAAATATATGGTAATGTCTGAGAACAGCACTACCAACAGAAGGAGTTCTTCGATTTCGTTCTTGTTTTTTACAGACGTTCTTATCATTATAGTGCTATGCCATAACTTAGCAACTTGAATTACGTTAAAGATGAATATAATAATGAGGTCACATATGGCACAACAAAAAAACAAATTGGCAACTCAGCACAACTTGGTCCTTAGTATTCATCAATTAAAATTAATGTTACTTCAATACACGGCAAACAATGTTAAATGCAAAAGTTACAAACACAAATAAGGACGAAATTGTGCATCATGGGTTCAATCACAGCCCTCTTACTTTATCACAACAGTTCAGGAGTGAAGGTTTGGAATTATACAATTCACGAAAAATGTAAATAAAGTTGAATAAAAGAAAGTTTACCATAATACACGTATAGGTTACATAACGAATGGATGAATTAAGCCAAGAGAATAAATAATATACCTAATTACTGGCTTTGAAAACATTTAACTTAGGACAATCCATAGTGGGTAATGACTCCTTACCAAGTTAAACTGCACATGGTTTTCCATCCTTAATAAAAAACTAATAGGCGCACAGTATATAAACCATAAAACCACTTTACCACACGACAATTGATTGTACTTTACACACAATAAATACTAACAGAGCAGCACTGAATATATCATACTCCACTAAACCATATTTGAGAAGGTATCCACCACTGACAAACTTAGACGTCCTCTCACTTTCAATGGCCAGCAATGCCTGACACAACCCACAGTTTATCGGTGGACTACAAGCCTAACAGCACTAATATAAAACAACTCTTACATTAGGCTGCAAAACTAATTAAACATACATACGTACATTTTAGGACAATTTTGCTCACAAATAATTATACAAAATATTTTACATACTGTACATACATACCGACACCAGCGCCAACACCATAATGGAAAGGGAGGTTAACGAGCAAAAAAAACATTTCGCTATGCATAATGCAATGTATTACTGTGTATTATGCCATGTATAACACCCCACACCCCCTTCTTAAAATAAAACCCGGAGGGTTTACATTGGCAATACACAATTATCAGATCTGTCTAATATGGCCTGGATAGGGTTTCAGCAATAATGTTATCCTTACCCTCGATATGTTTAATTTCAATATTATATGGTTGAAGTGCCAAACACCAGCGAGTTAAACGGTGATTTTCGTTCTTCATGGGAGTAACAAATTGCAAGGGGTTGTGGTCGCTATATACAATTATTTTATGGTTGCTGTTCCCAAGGTATACATCAAATTTATCTAGCGCCATTAGCCATTAACAATGCAGCTGTTTCTTTCTCAATGGTAGAGTAATTTCTTTGATGAGGCTTAAATTTAGTAGACATGGAAGATACCAGATGCAAAACATCATTACTACCTGCTTGCAATAAAACTGCCCCAGTTGCTATGTCAACCGCATCTACTTGTACAACAAATGGCTTGTCAAAGTTTGGTCCCCTTAATATTGGTTTAGACATCAAAGTTGCCTTAATTTTCTCAAATGCCTCTTGACAACTTTCCGTCCACACAAAATCTCTTTTAGGATTAATTAAATAAATTAATGGTCTAACAACATCACAAAAGTTCGGGCAGAATCTCCTATAATACCCCACCATACCCAAAAACCACTGGACTGCCTTACGGTTCGTGGGTATGGGCAAGGTTTCAATGACCTCAACTTTAGCCTGGACTGGGGCCACTGTCATATAGCCAATCTCATGTCCCAAAAATACTAGTTTGGCATGACCAAACTCACTCTTAACGAGGTTAACAGACGACTGAACAGACAAGGAAGCGACTCAATATGTTCACTCCGTGTGGAAGAGAACACAGCTACGTCGTCAAGATATGCTCTGATACCATCCAAATCATTAATGACAACTGACATCAAACGTTGGAAAGTTGAAGGGGAGTTACGCATACCAAATGGCATAACAGTATACTGATACAAACCATAAGGGGTAACAAATGCCGATATGCGTCTCGCCCGCTCTGACATGGGTACCTGATAATACCTCTTAAGTAAGTCAATCTTTGTAATGTACTTTGCATCACCCACTGCATCAGTTATATCATCAATACGGGGAAGGCGAAAACTGTCTGCCTTTGTGAGGGAGTTTACTTTTCTGTAATCAGTACACATTCTCATAGTAGCATCTGACTTTGGGACAAGAACACAAGGGGATGCCCGCTCACTGTCACTAGATTCAGCCAAATTATTGTCAATCAAGAACTTCACCTCGTCATTAAGAATGCCGATTTTTTGGGGAGACAGGCGGTAGGGTGCTTGTTTCACTGGGGCTGCTTTGTCCACCAACACAACACCACGGGTCACCACCGGGCTAGGCTGCGGCACATCACCAAAGATGGGTTGGAATTCCTGTAGGAGACATATTATATCGCTCCTCTGGTCCTGTAGTAGATGGCACAATTTAGAAGAAGAGTCACTTAACACATCAGAATTGTTAAGTTTGATATCAGCTTTCAACACCCCAAAGTTATGCTTAAGTAAGTCATCCTCCTCAACTTCATCACATGTCACAGTATTGCACACCACCTTATCAGGTCTAACACAATAGAGTTTCAACAGATTCACATGTACTATTCTTTTAGTCTTCCTACGTCCAGGCTTTGCTATGACACAATTAATACCTCCCACTTTACTCAAAACTTCAAAGGGATCCTGATACTTAGCTTGTATCTTCTGCAGTTTCCTTTTGGGCTGCCTTCATTTTACACCTTGGAAATTCCTGTACATGTTTCAACCTTTCCTTCAAATAAACAACACACTCGTTTACAGTACTTGATTCATCTTCCACTACCCAATTCTCATGCAATAGTTTCAAGGGACCACAGATATTCCTGCCAAATATCAGTTCACTTGGTGAGAATCCCAAACTAAACTGTTTAGTACATCTGATAACATACAATAGATATAATATAATATAAACCAAGTGCCAGCACAAGTATAGCTTTCGGATATCTAGTGGAAGCACACATCACCGGTAACAAATATTCATTGTCACATTCTGTTTTAGAATGGTGGCCCCACACAATCAATGATTACTTTTGCAAATGGTTCATCAACAACAGGTATAGGTTTTAAAGGTGCAGGTGACAACACTTGATTGGGCTTACCAGCTAACTGATATACATGACGTGTACGGCAAAAATCTGCTATGCCTAAGGAAACACTAGATTCATAAGCCTCTCGGGTTCTGATATGGCCATAGCAAATAATGGAACCAACAACTGGTCAGACTCTTGAGCAGAAATCAACATCTCTCTTGTGATAGGAAGGCTACTGGAGTCAACATTCACATGGTCCTTAGAATCTGTCTTTATATCACTTGATACATCACTCACAGGTTGATCCACTAAACCTGCATCTAACTGCTCTGACTTAACATCAAACAGTCCATTCAAATCTTAATCAGGCAAAACATCACTCTGATCACTCACATCTGTTCGATATGTCATCATTTAAACTTGACTGTGGGTTACAGCACAAGAAGGAAATAACCCAACACACTTACTCACAAGGTCTGCAGCAGGGTTATTGCTCAAAGGTGTAGAGCACACAACTGGATCTGGAACAACAAGGCTACCAGCTATATCAGTTCCCAAGAGGAACGTTACTCCCGCCACTGGCAAAACCTCCTGAACCCCTACTGAAACTGGCTGAGACAAAAGTTCCGTCCGAAGATACACTTTACACAAAGGAACACACGTGGTTCAATAACGCACCGCAACACAACATGCTCACCAGTATAAGCCTCTTCCACAGATGGAAGAGCACTTTTCAACAGAATACTGAGTGAAGCACCAGTATCCCTCAAAATACTCACAGGGACAGCAGGACTACCCTCGGACACGGACACAAAACCAGGAAACTGAAAGGGCTGGAACAAATCCTTAAGATCAACACAAAAAGGGTCAGAAACCGCAGCAACATTATCTACACCAACACAATCTGCTGAAGCAAATGCAAAATTAGCAACTGGCTTGTCATGGGATTCCTTAGCTTTGAGTTTAGGGCATTGGGCAATATAGTGACCAGGCTTTCTACAATAAAAACACACAGAAGTCATAACACATTACCGACATGACCATCAGAACCTTTACCAACATTCTCAAGAGAGGGTTTATTACCTCT